ACTGCACACATGTTCATGAATCGCTTACACGGAAGCAGGAGCCCTGGGTGGGGCCCTGCCTGCTGTCAGAGCCCTAGGCCCTCTCCTGTGGGGCACGTGCCACTTCAGAGAAGCACTGTTCTCAGGTTCTCTCCTGCGTGCAACACCCACAGCAGGGTCCCTCCTTGGGAAGATGGCCGCTGTGCTAGGTGCACAGCACAGGTTTCCTGGAGCTGAAAGGTGCCACACGTATGCTCTGTGTAAATGAGGCAAGGGCATATGTTGTGGTTTGGCCAAGAGTCACATAAGGAGGCTCAACATCCTTAGCTGTTGGGGAAATGTAAATCAAAACCACAATGAAACACTCTTTCACACCAATAAGACTAATAATTTATGAGAATGACGACCCGGGAGGCCGTGTGGCTGGGACACACCGGCCATGTCAGACCCAGCACCCAAGCTGCACAGGTGCCCGGAAGGGCAGGCAGCAGGAGCCCAGGAAGTGGCGTGGAGACTCGCACTGGTCCTGAGGCTGGCCACCGCCGTGCGCCCGAGAACCGCCATGCCGCAGAGAAGCACCGACAAAATAGGCCCACCCGGAGACCTGGGTGAACCACCCCGACATGGAGAAACCCCTGGGAAAACATGCCATGTGGCGGATTGCTCTTGCCCCTGCCCTTGAGAGCCAGAAAGGTCCAGAGTCAGCGGAGGAACAGCTGCTGAACGAGGACTTGGTGAACACGAGAGTACCAATGCCCAACGACTCAGAGGTCGAGCTGACTGGGGACTGACTGGGTAACTACTTGTTAGATCTTTCTTGCATATCTTTGTTTTCCTGAGAAAGCACTTTGAGGATACCAACATGTATTATGGCAGCCACTGATAATTTCCTACCAATCTGTCCATAACTCTGTAATGTTTCTATTGTTCCTATGCTATTTCATAAATGGATGTAGTTTATTACTATGTGTTTTCAACAACAACCATTGAGAATAATCAATGATTACTTAATTGATCACTCATGTACAGCTCTATTTGTTTTCTCTAAAAATCACTTTGAAGAAAGCAAAGTATAGTACAACAACCATTGATAATTTCCTACCATTTCTGTCTGTAACTCACTATTATTTGTCTATTTGTTTTCCTGAGAAACTATCTTGAAGATACCAATAGGTAAAATAACAACCACTGATAATGTCCTGCCACTTTGTCTGTAATTCGGTAAATCCCCCTATTACTTTGCTATCCTTCTTTTATTCTTTAAAAAAAAAATAAAAAGAATGACAAGAGTATATAAAACTGGAAACTTTGGACATGACTGGTGGGTGTATAACACTGGCACAAATGTTAATCACTTACAGGGGCACTGTTCATATGAGCCCAAAGTACAAGCAATCTGATATCCATCAACAGCTACATGGAGAAACCAGATACACGGACAAACAAAGTCATGTATCCAGGCATTGGAACACTGTTGAGTACTGTAGTACTGGACACTGCTGCACTGAGAGTGAACCTGGAAACCCCATGCTCAGCGACAGGCAGACCGATATTGTACGATCATGGTTCTATTTTTAGGGTGTAAGCACAAGAGGCAAGTCTGTGGGACAGGATGCACCTCAGCGGTTGCCAGGACGGAGAGGTCGTGGGGGTCTCGCTCATGGGTATGGGATTTTCCTTCAGGGTGACACGGCTCTTTTAGAACTTGCTGTGGGTGGTGGCTGCTCAGCAATGGGAGTGCACAGCGCCAGTGCCTTGTTCGTCTCGTGTTAATGGTTGATCGTCTGTGTTAATCCCCAAGTAGTCTTAGTCATGGGAGCTTCGCTTCACTCACACACAAACACACATAGAGTTCCGTCCTCACATATGCCGGTCAGTGAGGGCGGGCCGCAGGAACAGACACAGAAGCAGCTCAGGACACAGTTGCTGTCCTCACAGGTCGTGGAGTGGGCATTGCTGGGTCCCCGCAGGGTCGCAGGGGAGCTCAGGTTCTGGAACACGGCGGGAGACAGCAGAAGGATCAGGCCTTAGCGCCAGGACTTGTTGGCACGTTTGTGTCAAGACAAGGCAGGACAGGCAGAGCCGAGGACTGGCCAGTCAGGAGAGATGGAACCACTCCACGTTGGGCAAGTGCTAGAGCAGGTGTGTGCAGCACGCTGCCTTTGGGCTGCACGCAGCCTTGGACAGCCAGTCGGGTGGCTCCAGGGTGTAAGCTTTCAGCATTGTTACTTTTATTGGTTAAATTGTGTGTGTTGAAGTGTGGACTGTGCAAGAGATGACAGAACACACTGTGTGTGTGTGTGTGTGTGTGTGTGAGTGACAGGGTAGCGGTAAGCCTGCCTGATGCACCTGCCGCCCACCGTCAGTCAAATCTAACCCTGTGTATCAGAGGTTACATACTCTTGGGCAACTTGCTGACTAAAACGCAGAGATTACCCATAGTACTGAGACACACCTACCTGTGTGTGCCTTTGCAGACACGTGTTTATGGCTATTAAGCAGTCATGGAAGTTTTCTGATCTGATTATTAAAAGTGGGTTTCTCATTGATTCACAAAATGATCCAATAAGTTCAAATATAGAAAGTAAGGTTTGTTGGTTCTGTATGTGAATGACATTATAGATTTCCTATGCAGCACAAGACAATTCCTTTTCACTCACTGCAGCCGGAGGGAGCCGAAAGGTTGGCCACCCATGTGCCCGAGCCTGGCTGAGAGCCCTGGCGCCCCGCAGCTCACCCTCAAGTGGGCGGGACAGAAAGTAGATGTACATTTTCTTTACCCATTCATTTGCTGAGGCCTTTGTAGGAACATGGACGCAATTTGAAACTACACTATTAAATGAAATACAGATGATATATAATATATAGGTTTAGGAGCTAAGTACAATAAATATATCATGTCTATCATATATACAGTAGATAAACAGGAAGAGAATGGATGGGGGAACAAGAGATAGAGGAAGAGGGGGAAAGGGGATGGAAAGAGAAAGAACTGAAGGAGAAAAATGCAAAGAAAAAGGAGCTTTTGCAAAGGGGAACAGGACGAAGGTGGGAAAGAGCAGGGAGGAGGGCGGGGTGCAGGGGATGACAGCTTCTGTGTTACATACGTGTACCAGCTTCCCAGGACACATCGAGCCGTGAGGCACTGCAACGTGCACTCACCGAGACCCGGGTGGACAGTCAGGTGAAATGACCTTGGCTTGTGCTGAGAACTTGGCACACAGAAAGCAGAACCAAAGGCAAAGCATGGAAGGTAGGTGGACGAAGGAGATTCCTAGGGAAAGAGCAACCCATCTGTGTGGAGACAAACCTGAGTGAAGCAAAAGCACTTTGGGAAGAGGATCCCTGGGCAGCAGGTGGCCAGGGAACGTTCTGACGGGCTGCACCCTTGGCGTGACCTGCTCCCGGGGTCTAGGGACCTGAGGAGCATCCAGGGAATATGTCGGCAGGGTGCAGTGGTCAGGTCCAGAGCAGGCAGGGTCAGGAGGAGCATGAGTGTGGCGGGGGAGCACTTCTCACCTTGCTCTCTATTTAGGGCGAAGGCTGTGGAGGATGGAAACTGAGGAATGGTACCCAGCTCAGGGCCGCCATTACACAGACAGCAGGGAGTTGGAGGCCTTGCTGACCCTGCAGCTGAACCCTGCCACCTAGGGCAGATATTGTTGATCGCCATGGGCCCCACTCATCCCACAGAGGCTGTGGCACCCCTCTGTCCCCAGAGTCCCAGACATACCCTCCCTGCTGATCTCCCAGAGCAAAATTTTGAAGGAAGCTCTAGCCTGTCATGATTTCTCTAACCCTTTGTCAAGACCAAGATCTCCAGGGGCTTGTCTAAGAAAGATGTAGTGACACATGGAGTATTTGGAGCAGAGCTCATCAGTTCTTTATTGGAAAGGGGATGCAGTCTATAATGCGACACACCTGAGCACCTAGGAAGATATCGAGCTGAAGTTGTAGGTGGCCTCCTGTGAGCTCATAGCTTCCCTGGAAAGTATCGTGGAATTGGCAAATATGACCACGCCAATGGTCTTGAATGATGTGGACAGCTTTGAGCACAGCTCGGTACCGCTTGCGGACGAGCCACATTCGGACCCAGGACTGCAGCTTCACAGTGTCCCAGATTTGCAGCTTGTAGAACTCTAGTGCTTCCCTCCGCCTCTTCTCCAGCTGCCTGGCTCTTATCTGCCTCCACCAGCACTGGATGATCCATGCCCTGAGCGCCGCGTGCAGCAGGGTTCGTCGCAGTAGTGTGCCCCGCCACCAGGCCTGGATCTTCGATCCTGCCTGCACCATGTTGTCGGATGCCACCTTCTGTGAAGGGGTTTAAGGAAAGAGAAGGACACTTGAGGACAGAGTCCCCAAAACCTCAGCCCCAGAGTGTTTTAAGAAAGTCCTCTAATCCTCTGTCAACCATAATGTCTTCCCCTGAAGTCCAAGAACCTGTGCAGGGCAGCAGGTGAACACAGACTAGGAGCGCGACCTACCTCGGGCTGCTTCTCTGCCATGTCACTTAGTGTACACACACAGCACCTCCACCTCTGAGTCTCCCCGTCCTCCTTCTGAGATGTGAGCCCCCCTGCCCTTGCTACCTCACCTGGTTTTCCAAGGGCCTGGTTGGCCAGTTTGGAGCAAGAGTCCTGGGGTCCATAGGCTCCACCTGGGTGTGACTATCTACCTGGCACCCCTCACCTGCCCTTCAGACCCTCCTCCCTCAGGGAAGTGGCATCCTTTGCTCCCTGCCCTCTCCTCCCTGACTCCACCTCCGTCCACAGCTTGCTTCTCCCTCGGTCAATGCCAATGTGCTCCACACACTCTGGGACCTTTCTCCTCCACTTCCCACGTTCACTGCTTTTCATTCCATACCTGAAGCTTCTACTGACACACACACATGCATGCGCACATGTGGACACGCTCCCGCAGAAATCTGGCCTTGACATTCCCTTAGCTGGGCCATACATTCCCCAAACAGCCCTCCCGACACCACTCCCCAGCTCTCAAGCTCCCACTCCTCAGAGTTGCTCCTCCCCCAGCGAAGTCGGCCCTCTCAGTTATCTGCCTTAGTCTGATGGAGCAACTGCAGAAGAAACCAGCAAGCATGAGTCAGCCCTACGCATCCAGACTCAGACAAGGTACCCACTTCTCCTGGTTGGCCAGGACAATTTTTGGTGTCCAGTGCCTATTGTGAATACTAGTTAATAGCAACACAATTTTCTCATAAGCGCGCCTTGTTTTGGACAATATATTCCATGGCCATTCAAAACTGTGGACCACAGAGAAGACCGCCATCAGTCTGGTGACTAGATTCAGTGATGTGGCAGGTCATGGGTCACCTGTAACCTTGGAAACTTTCACCTCCTAATTGAGGCTTGAGTTGATGTTCTTGGGCCTTACCTTTTTTGTTGTTCTCCGTTTTGGTGTTTTTTCATCAGGTTTGGTTATACTTTCTGTAAATTTGACAGCCTTCTGAAATCAGAGTTAATGGAGGAGGGTTATATAGGCTGGTCTCGGTGGATCTCAGGACCAGTGTTTAATTCTTTGCTCACCTAGCACTCTGAGACATAGGGCCCATACTCTAACTGTGAAGAGCCACTTCCTCTGCCTGCAATTCTAGGGGGACTTAATACTAAATACTTCATACTAAGTGCCTGTGAGGGATGGGCCTTTAGATTCCTTACATCTACATTGCAGGGGTGCTGGGTACTGTTTTCCTGTGCTTTTGTCCTGCCACTGTCTCGAGGCACTTGTGCTCACTGTCTGAGCTACATGTCCTCACTCATGAAGTGGGGAAACCCTTGCTTTGTGGACTCACAGGTTCGTGGAACTGGGAGAAACACTTTCTGGTGGAAAAGACCCACTGTGTGTGTGACGAGCCAAAGGGTCCCCAGGAAGAGGAGCCTCTGCATCTGCGCTTGCACCTCACGCTTGAACCAGCCTAGCACGCTGCCTTCTGAGGTCTCACATGGTTCCACAGGCCTCATGGGTCCAGCCTCTCTTTGCTTCCACTGACATCTGTGCCTA